AAGTTTGCATGGTCTGGATAAAAGATCAAACCAACCACAACATTCCCTTAAGCCAAAACCTAATACAGAGCAAGACTCTAACTCTCATCAATTCTGTGAAGGCTGGGAGACGTGAGAAGGTGCAGAAGAAAAGTTTGAAGCTAGCAGAAATTGGTTCATGAAGTTTAAGGAAGGAAGCCATCTCCATAGTATAAAAGTGCAAGGTGAAGCAGTAAGTGCTGATGGAGAAGCTGCAGCACGTTATCCAGGAGATTTAATTAAGATCATTGTTGAATATGGCTACACTAAACAACAGGTTTTCAATGTCGGTGAAACAGCCTTCTATTAAAAGAAGACGCCATCTAGGACTTTCATAGCTAGAGAGGAGAAGTCAATGTCTGGCTTCAAAGCTTCAAAAGACAGGCTGACTCTCTTGTTAGGAGCTAAAGCAGCTGGTGACACTAAGTTGAAGCCAGTGCTCATTTACCATTCTGAAAATCCTAGGGCCCTTAAAAATAAATCATGCTAAATCTACCCTGCCTATGTTCTATAAATGAAACAACAAAACCTACATAACAGCATATCTGTTTACAGCATGATTTACTATTTCAAGCACACTGTTGAGATCTGCTGCTCGGAAAAAAGAAAAAGATTCCTTTCAAAATATTACTTCTCATTGACAATGCACATGGTTAGCCTAGAGCTCTGATAGAGATGTACAAGGAGATTAATGTTGTTTTCGTGCCTGCTAATAATTCATTCTGCAGTACATGGATCAAAGAGTAATTTTGACTTTCAAGTCTTGTAATTTAAGAAGTATATTTCAGCAGTACATGGGTCAAGGAGTAATTTTGACTTTCAAGTCTTGTTATTTAAGAAGTACATTTCAGAAGGCTATATATAACTGCCATAGTGATTCCTCTGATGGATCTGGGCAAAGTAAATTGAAAACCTTCTGGAAAGGAATCACCATTCTAGATGCCATTAAGAACATTTGTGGAGGAGGTTGAAATTTCAACATTAACAGGAGTTTGGAAGAAGTTGATTCCAACCCTCATGAACAACTTTGAGGGGTTCAAGACTTCAGTGGAGGAAGTAGCTGCAAATGTGGCAGAAACAGCAAGAGAACTAGAATTAGAAGTGGAGCCTGAAGATATGACTAAATTGCTACAACCTCATGATCATACTTGATGAAGTGGTGCTTCTTATGGATGAGCAAAGAAAGTGGTTTCTTGAGATGGAATCTATTTGTTGTGAAGACGCTGTGAACACTATTGAAATGACAACTAAGGATTTAAAATTCCATAAACTTAGATGCTAAAGCAATAACAAGGTTTGAAAAGACTGACTGCAATTTTGAAAGAAGTTCTACTGTGGGTACAATGCTATCAAACAGAATCACATGCTCCAGGGAACCCTTTCATGAAAGGAAGAGTCCATCGATGTGGCAAACTTCATTGATGTCTTATTTTAAGAATTTTCCCCAACCACGGCAACCTTCAACAAACACCACCCTGATAATTTAGGAAACATCAACGCTGAGACAAACTCTCCACTAACAAAAAGATTATAACTTCCTGAAGGCTCACATGATCATTAGCATTTTTTTATCAATAAAATATATATATATTTTGAGATGGAGTCTCGCTCTGTCGCCCAGGCTGGAGTGAAGTGGCACAATCTCAGCTCACTGCAACCTCTACCTCCCGAGTTCAAGCGATTCTCCTGTCTCAGCCTCCTAAGTAGCTGGGATTACAGGCATGTGCCACCATACCTGGTTAATTTTTGTATTTTTAGTAGAGACAGGATTTACGATGTTGGCCAGGCTGGTCTCAAACTCCTGACCTCAAGTGATCCACCCACCTCCGCCTCCCAAAGTGCTGGAATTACATGCGTGAGCCACCACACCTGGCCAATAAAGTATTCTTTAATTAAGGAATGTACATTGCTTTTTTAGACATAATGCTATTGCACACTTAATAGACGATAGCGGAGTGTAAATATAACTTTTAGATTCACTTGGAAACCAAAAACTTCATGTGACTAACTTCATTGCAATATTCACTTCATTGTAGTGGTTTGGATCCAAATACACAGTATCTCCAAGGTAGGCATGTATCTGATAAGAATCTAACATCCAGAATATATAAAGAACTGTTGCAACTCAACAATGAAAAGACAAGTAACTGATATTTTTTAAATGAGCAAAGGATTTAAATAGACATATTCCCAAAGAAAACATTAAAATAGCCGATAAGCAAGATGAAAAGATGACCAACCTCATTAGCCATTAGAGGAATAAGGGGTGGCTGTTACTGGAGATGGGTTTTTTAAAGGGGAGTAATAGAAATGTTCTGGAGCTAGACAGTGGTGATGGCTACACGACCTTGTGAATATATTAAAATCCACTGAATTGCATACTTTAACATGGTGAATTTTATGTTATATAAATTATGTCTCAATGAAAAGAAAAATAACCCAATATAAAAACAGGCTAAGGATCTGGATAGACATTTCTTTTAATGAAGACATACAAACATCCAGAACGTACATGAAAGATGCTATATTAGTCCATTTTCACAATACTGTAAAGATACTACCTGAGACTGGGTAATTTATAAACAAAGGATGTTTAATCGACTCACAGTTCTGCATGGCTGGGGAGGCCTCAGGAGACTTACAATCATGGTGGAAGGCAAAGGAAAGGCAAGTACTTTCTTCACAAGGTGGCAGGAAAGAGAGCAAAAGCGAAGAGGGAAGAGCCCCTTATAAAACCATCAGATCTCATGAGAACTCACTGGCTATCATGAGAACAGCATGGGGGAAACCACCCCCATGATCCAATCACCACCTACCTGGCCCCTCCCTCAGCATGTGGAGTTGACAATTCAAGATGAGATTTGGGTGGGAACACAGAGCCAAACCATATCAAATGCTCAATATCATTATTCCTGAGGAAAATGCATATCAATCTCGCCATGAGAAACCACTTCATATCCACTAATATGTCTATAATCAAAAAGACTGAATATAACAAATGTTTGGTGATGGTGTGGAGCAAATGAAACCCTCATACACTGATAGTGGGAAAATAAATTGGTGCAGTGACTTTGTTTCTTTTTGTTATTGTTGTTTGTTTGTTTTTGTCTGAGACGGAGTCTTGCTCCATCAAGCAAAGCCAAGGTGGGGGGATCATTTGAGGTCAGGAGTTTGAGACCAGCCTGGCCAATATGGTGAAACCCCATCACTACAAAAATTAGCTGGTCGTGGTGGCGCATGCCTATAATCCCAGGTACTCTGGAGGCTGAAGCAGGAGAATTACGTAAACCTGGGAGGCAGAGGTTGCAGTGAGCCGAGATAGTGCCATTGCACTCCAGCCTGGGAGACAGAGCAAGACTCTGCCTTAAAAAAAAAAAGAAAAGAAAAAGAAAGAAAAGGAAAAAAAAAAAAAGATTGTCTTTCTATTGCTTAAGCTGAGTGGTAGGTACACAGGTGCTCATTTTATTGTGATCCTTTACATTTGCATTTACATTATTGTTTCCGTGGATAAAATGCATGCCTTAATAAAAACATTTTTTAGAAATCTGACAGACCCGGATTCTGGCTCAACCACTTAAGAGCTATGAGTTCTTGGGCACATTACTTAACCTAAGGCTTCCAATGTCTTATCTGTAAAGCAGAGATGGTAATAATAACTCCCTCATAGCTTTTTACATCATGTGCCCGGCACATTGTCAGTGCTATTATTAGCTAATGTTAGCTATAAGCAGTTGAGCCACTTGCCTAAAAATTCCAGGTTCATGACCTCTCTTTCTTTAAACTCCTATTTCCATATTTGCTATTCCATAAGAGTTCAAAGCTTTGGTCAGAGGAATAAAATTGACCTTCAAGCAGGACTGACTATGTTCAACCTTTAAAATGTCCTTATGTAACATCTTTGTAAAGCCAATAACACCCCTTAATAAACCAGGACAAGAACCAAAATGTCTGTCATTTCTGGAGGTTGGTGTCAGCTAATGTTCTAGCCTAGCTCTGGGAGTTGAAATACGGGCCAGATTAAGATAATATTCTTTTCAGTCCTGAACAGCTTCCAGAATCCATGTCCATTCTGCATCTTAGCCTTCAAGTTAAGTCAAGAGTCTCTACGTTGGACTTGCTTTTGTCCCACGTGGATTTCTAGCATATGACTTCTAAAATACAGTTCTGTCTTCAAGCCTATCCTACAGTTTTCTGGCCCAGATGAATGTGTCAGTGAATGTGTCAGGGGTGGGTAATCAGAAGCTAAGGGTGAGTAGGAGAGGTGTGGCACTTATCCAGGTCCCTTGAAAGAACTCATATTCTTAAAGAAGACACTATTCTATTGTTCATCATGAATCAGAAAGAACTTATATTCATGTACAATTATTATCAGAGCCCTTTGCTTAAAGTATCCATCACACAGCTCACACCTGCTTTGTAGCTACATCATTGCCTGAAACTTTCTCTACCCAGACAAGGGAAGGCAGAAAGAGATAAACCTATGCAATTTAGCTATTTATCAGCAACTCAGATAAAACATTCATTGGGGCAGGAGAAATCTAAACAATTGGCTTTAAATAGAATTTTGTTTCAGGAGAGCCCTCCCTGACCCTTTCTTCACACCCCACTAAGTTGATATCATGTTAGTGTTGTCTCACAGCACCCTTTTAATTTACTCCTTCATAATATGACATGTCTACAACTTTTAATTTAATATCTGCATTTCCCTCAAGATTCTATGCTCCATGAGGGGAGGGACTGCCTCCTCCTTGTTCATTCCTGTATCCCCATCAGCTGGTACATGGCGTTGTACATAGTAGGTGCTCAAGAAATTATTTGTTGGATTAATGCACAATCAATCCATGGAACAATGAATCAATTCCTGGCATCATGAACAGGGATAATCAAGAATCCAACTGAAGACCTTGGATTTCCAAATGAGGAAGTCCTAAGAAGGGATCACATTGCAAAACCGCCTCGTTGGGGGAATGTTAACTATTTACCTGTGCTGAGTGAGTACATTCACAGCTGAAGGATGGTTTGCACAGTAAGCCAGATACATAGATTTAAAATGAGGCATGAGACTCAGTAGACAACCTCCCACTTTGTGCTGGTTTTCTGGAAACCTGTAAACAAAATAGACAAAACACAGAATGTTAAACAGGAAACAAGAGGCAAAGGAAGATGATTCCAATTAAATCTGGCAACATAAAAGCCTTCTGAATATTTTGCCAAGGTTGCAAGAAAAACTATATTATAACTATTTTACCCATGAAATTCAAATTTTTGCCCACTGCTTTAAACTCTAGCCACCAAACATATCATTAATACATATGGTCAGATACTTACTTGGAATTATTACGTAGGGTTGTTCGTTTGTTTTTAATATCATTATTTTCAATTTTAGCTGGGTACACTAAAATACTCTTGGTTAATTTTTCTAAAGTTTGAGTACAGACAAAACTAATAAAATCCAAAAATGACATACCACAAAAGAACATTATGTAATCTTGGTGGCCTGGTGTTTGCTAGGCAGGGTGCCCTCAAAAGTTTTTAAATTAATGTTTTAAATTATAAGCCATCTGTCTTCATTTGTAGAAAAATCAGAAAAGCATAATAAGAAAAAAGAATTTCTCAGACTCCCACCATTTGGAAATATTGACTCTAACAATGTTGGCATATTTCTTGGGCTTTTTTCTACATGTTTCTCTATAAAATGGAAAACATAAGGATTATGAATCTAGTTTGTAATCTGCCCTTCTCGCTTAGTGAACATCTTTTCATATCAATAATTTAGATCCCTCTTGGCCCCTCAAGTCCCTTTAGCGTGGACCCTCTCCATCTTTCTCCCTGGAACCACCTGTGTCCCATTAAGCTCAAATAACAGGTAAACGCCTACATTTCCCCTATAGGGAAATGCTGCCAACTTCTTCAAGACGTGATGCTTGAAAAATTAGTCTTTCCATAGAAACATATTGCCTGATGATCATTATAGTTCACTCTGTAGTATGAAGTTGAACATCTGGACAATCTAGCTAGCCTTCAAAAATGTGTTGGTTCACATAAAGATATATTTTTCCTTCTCCCACTTTCTATATGCTTCAACTCAATATAATAGACATAGTATCAGGAGCAATTCAAAGAGAACAAATCTGTGAAAATGAATGAATCATCTGAATGATTTTCCCAAGTAATTTGTAATGTACAAAAGAAAATATGTAATTAGTGCCAGAGGTGCCATTCATGGTCAATTAAGACCTTATATGTCTCCAGGGAGGGGAACATCACACACAGGCACCTGTCAGGGGATGGGGGGAATAGGGAAAGAGAGAATTAGGACAAATACCTAATGCATGTGGAGCTTAAAACCTGGAAGACGGGTTGAGAGGTGCAGCAAACCACCATGGCACATGTATACCTAATGTAACAAACCTGCATGTTCAGCACATGTATCCCAGAACTTAAAGTAAAATTTTTTTAAAAAGCCCTTATGTGTCTCTTATACTCACCAGAAACAGCAAACTGATGTATTTTTTAAATAAAGTCAAAAGCAATTTACTAGATATAGAATTGTAATATACAACTGGTGCTTTGACACTGTGAACACTGCCACCTAGTACATTGTCTGTGTATTGCTACTTTGTTCTCGGACAATGTATCAAAGCTGTAACAAATATATAACTATGAAGTGCCCTTATCTAAGGCAACAGGTAAAAGGGAAACAAATACAAACAGCAATGTTGCTGGCTATCCTATCAGAAATATGCCACACTTACTTTGAACATTCTTCCAAGGCTTGGCAGAGTGTCTGTTGAAACGTGCATACTTCCTCGAAGTTTCCCAGTAAAGACATAACCTCCACAGTGCTCAGACTGAAAAAAATATATATGTATATGTAGTTATCTATTCTAGTCTAGTTGGCTGATAGCTTGCTAATATATAGTAAATACAAGGGAAATAATCCCTATATTTTAACTTTTGCTTTTTAATTTATAGCAACTCTATTGTCTTAGGCAACTTCTGAAGCTTCTTCCCTTGATTTTCTTTTATATAACAGGAATAATGATCCTAAAGAAAAGGAGTGGTCATAAGGGACATTTAGGTATTTTATAAAGCAATGAGTAAATTAAAACAAGTGTTTAATACTGAAGTATATAAATAGATAAAAATACAACATAGCTGTGAATAAGTGTTAAAAAAAACTCTTGAGTACCTTCTTCAGGGTGAACTGGAAAAGTAATTGAAAGATATTACATATGCTCATATAATACACAAGAAAAAACAGCAAAATCAACTTTCTCCTAAACTAAAATGCTCATATATCAATTAAAGGAAATCTTTATGAGATGAAGTAGGAGGGAAAAAAATAGTATTGTTTGTTTTTGGAGTGGAGTGGAGTCGAATAAAGGCAAAGTGAACCACTTTATCCAGGGCCTCTGCATGAAGAATGTTCTTATCCATTCCTCCCCTACCAAACAGTAAGTGATAATAAAAACAAGAGCCAACCCCGACAGAGCGCTGAACACTTACACAAGCATTCTACAATTAAAATCTCATTTTAACCTTATTATAACTCATAAGGTAGGTATTATGCCAGTGCTGTTTCCATTTTACAGGCGGGGAAACCTAGGCGTAGAGATGTTAAGCAAATCGTTCAAAGCTACAAAGCCAGGAAACAGCAAAAACAGAAATTGAACCAAAACATTCTAGTTCCAAAGTCTATGCTCTTAACCACTTTTTGGGAGAAAACATTTCTGAAGATTTGTTTAAAAAGCCAATGTTGGGACAGGTGTGGTGGCTCAGGCCTGTAATTCCAGCACTTTGGGAGGCCGAGGTGGGCAGATCACTTGAAGTCAGGAGTTCAAAACCAGCCTGGCCAACATGGTGAAACCTCATCTGTACTAAAAATACAAAAAAATTAGCCGAGTGTGGTGGCATGCACCTGTAATCCTAGCTACTTGGGAGGCTGAGGCAGGAGAATCACTTGAACCTGGGAGGCTGAGGTTGCAGTCAGCTGAGATCACGCCACTGCACTCCAGGCTGGGTGGCAGAGTAAGACTCTGTCTCAAAAAAGAAAAACAAAACAAACAAACAAAAAAAAAAAAAAAAAAAAAACAAGCCAGTGTCTGCTACATGTTCTTTCTCCTTAAGTATTTAGTAATATCAGGCCGAGTGTGGTGCCTCATGCCTGTAATCCCAGCACTTTGGGAGGCCAAGGTGGGCAGATCACTTGAGGTCAGGAATTCAAGACCAGCCTGGCCAACATGGTGAAACTCCATCTCTACTAAAAATACAAAATTAGCCATGCGTGGTGGCACGTGCCTGTAGTCCCAGCTGCTCAGGAGGCTGAGGCAGGAGAATCGCTTGAACCTGGGAAGCAGAGGTTGCAGTGAGCCGAGATCTCGCCACTGTATTCCAGTTTGGGGGACAGAGTGAGACACGGTCTCAAATATATATATATATATATATACACACACACACACACACACACACACACACATATTTGTGTGTGTGTGTGTGCGCATGCGTGTGTGTGTGTATGTGTGTGTGTGTGAAATACCAGAGAGTATTCCCAACAGAATGTTTTTTTGCTGACTGCAAAAGAAAGGGAAGAAGACCCAAACAAGCATTACCAGCAACTCTGAGAGAATAATAAGCTGCCAGTTCCTCTGCTGTAATGACATCCTGAATCACAAGCTGGAAAACCCCTATTCTAAAGTGAAACTTTTAGCCACCAACTTCCCTGGTTGTTGCTCTCTCAGAACAGTGAGAACTTAAAGTTGGGGCCTTACCTGAACCTGACTGGGGGCTTATTTGGCCCCTTCATGATCAGATAATAGTCAGGCTGGTTTGCTCAAATCACTTTGGGACCGACAAGGCAGTCAGAAGTAATGGAAACTTACTACCACTGCATTCTGAATTCATTTAGGAACAGTACAGGTCTGACTCAGGTCTCTCACCTCTTCAGCCGTGACTCTTTTCCAAGGAACTCAAACAAACCAGTAAGAAAAAAACAAATAATCCCGTCAAAAAGTAGACAAATGACATGAACACACTTCTCAAAAGAAGACTTAACAAATGGCCAGCCAATATATGAAGAAATGCTCGGTATCTTTAATCATCAGGGAAATGCAAATTAAAACCATGAGATACCACCTCTGCCCAGCCAGAATGGCCATTATTAAAAAGTCAAAAATAATAGATGTTGGCGTGGATGTGGTGAAAAGGGAACACTTACACACTGCTGGTGGGAATGTAAATTAGTACAGCCTCTAATAGAAACACTACAGAGATTTCTCAAAGCTAAAGGTAGATAGATCTACCATTCCATCCAGCAATCTCACCACTGGGTATCTACCTAAAGGAAAATAACTCATTAAATCCTCTTACTGTTTCTTGATTGCTAATCAGTCCCTCCTTCATTTAAAATGTTACCATTTCCCCTCTCAGAGTTACTGCTTCAGTTTCCATCTTCCCTGCCTATCACCTCCAGGAATCAAACAACATGTTTCACTTGCCAGCAGGAGGCAGAGTGGCTCCAGCCTGGGCACTTACTGGCTGTGTGATGGGCAAGGCAATAAACCTGTCTGGACTTCAGCTTCTTCTCTATTCAATAGAGATAGTCATTTCTCCCAGGACACCAGACCCAATGATTTACTGATTTACTTCAGCTCTAAGAACTGTGATTCACAGAACACTTCATATTTCACATGATAGAAACAAAAAATACTTTGTTTTTTGTTTTGTTTTGTTTGAGATGGAGTCTTACTCTGTCCCCCAGGCTGGAGTGCAGGAGCAGAATCTTGCAACCTCCACCTACCAAGTTCAAGCAATTCTCCTGTCTCAACCTCCTGAGTAGCTGGGACTACAGGTGGGTACCACCACACCCAGCTAATTTTGTGTTTTTAGTACAGACAGGGTTTAGCCATGCTGTCCAGGTTGATCTCGAACTCCTGGCCTCAAGTGATCCACGCACCTTGGCATCCCAAAGTGCTGGGATTACAGGAGTGAATCAAACTGCCCAGCCAGCCACAGCACCCGCCCCAAAAAACACTTTGTTGTCGATCATGTTTAAACTCTTATAACAAAGGAACAGAAAATCCTTTTGTACTGAAGTAGATTTCTGTAGTGCCAGGAGAATAACCAAGTGGGAAATTTATCAAGAAAAAAGACTTTATAACTAAATAAGCATAATTTGGAAAAGCGGAGACATTTTCTCAAAATTTTTTTTTTCTTTTTCTTTTGTTTGTTTGGATTTTTTGTTTGTTTGTTTGTCTGTTTTCACATGGAGTCTCGCTGAATCTCCCAAGTTGGAGTACAGTGGTGTTATCTTGGCTCACTGCAACCTCCGCCTCCCAGGCTCAAGCGATTCTCTTGCCTTATCCTCCCAAGTAGCTAGGATTACAGGCTCGCACCACCACACATGGCTAATTTTCTTTTGTAGTTTCAGTAGAAACGAAGTTTCACCATGTTGGCCAGGCTGGTCTTGGACTCCTGACCTCTAGTGATCCGCCCGCCTCAGCCTCCCAAAGTGCTGGGATTACAGGCTTTGAGCCATGGCACCTGGCCAAATTTCTCAACTATATTAACTTATTTAAGTTTGAAGTTGATAGTTTAGGCAAGTGTTTAGTAAACTCTTTCCAAGGTAAAAAGAGGTGTTTTGTTATCCATTATATGGCTGACTGCTAAATTTTCTATTTGATCATGATCTCCAGTGAAAATTAATTAATTAACATAAGAACAAATCAATGCAGTTTGCCACTATTTGTTAAATACACTGTGCTTACAAGCATTAAAAAAACGGTCACTACTTTTCTTTCATGAAAACTAAAGCTTTCAATTCAGGCTTTACACAATCACTTCACATTTCTAAGACCAGAGTAAGGTTTGAACATTTTGTCTTTAAAAACATTTTAACATCTATTTATCATTCATATTTGCCTGGGTGAAATAATTGCTTGAATAGCTCTTATGAGCACTCAGCAAAATGCCATACCCTTTCCATTCTCAGAGCATGGGAAAGAAGTTCTACTCTGGCAAACAAAGGCCAGAGTGAGCATGAGAATTTCCAGTTTATGTGTTTTCTGAATAAAAGCACTAGGGAGTTATTTTCTTGTAAGTTAAAACCAGGCATATCACTTTTTTTAATGTACAAGACAAAAATTGTGACAGGCAGAAACACAGATCTGTTTATTCCTTTCACAGCCAGAAGAGAAAGAAAGCCAAGCTTTCCAAAAGCAACATCTTGCATAATTTCTGTTGCCCCGACCATGTTCTTGGCAACCTGTGATCTGTGGAAATTCTTCTAAAGGGCAAAATCAATTATTCAGTGACATAAGAATAATGATTCAATATGCTGACATTATGTTGCTTTACTTAGTGAGGGGTTTAGAATAAATATCTTACTTGTTATTGGACTGCAGGGGTCTTAAGTAAGTAACAAGAAGAGACTGAAGTTCTTTAGCATATTCTTTTTCAGTGTCCAGGATGTTCTGTAACACCTTTGAAAAGAAAAAAAATTCCATGTATTATAATCGTCTAGATAGTAGTCTAAGGCAAACGTAGGTTTAGATCTTTTAATCAAATTACTAGGAAGAAAAAAGGTCCTATTTACTCAGGCTACCATTGCAAGCAAGGAACACAAAATTTGAATGCACTTTCTTTTAATCTATCAAACTACTTTAATAATTGCATGACAACTGGGAATATCGCACAATTCATACAAATACAATTTTTCAGTTACCCATAACTGAAGGGGCCTTGCCATTTACACAGTATTGCTTGGTTATTTATTTCTTGTAGAGACAGGATCTCTCTATGTTGCCCAGGGTGGCCTCAAACTCCTGGTCTGGAGCAATCCTCCTGCCTCAGCCTTCCAAAGTGCTGGGATTACAGGTGTAAGCCCACACCAAGCCCCACAGTGCTGTTTAAAATGCTTTCATGTGCCGTAAATCATCGTATCCTCAGGAAGTTCTCAGTTAGTTAACAAATAATCAGTATTCCTCTTTTATGGAGGAGAAAATTGAGGCCAACTACCTTAAGACATAGAGACTTAATGTCAGTATAATTTAAGGATCACTGTGATATCAAACATCACAAGAAATTTTTGTTTAAGTTTGTAATAAGACCATTAGGGAACAAAATCTGAGGATACAGTGAATTTTTAAGCAGAGTTAAAGCTAGTCTTTTATTAAAGGCAAAAGGTACTACCATGAACAATTCAAAGGACAAAGTAGGCTGAAGTGCGAGAAATTTAACAAGAGAAATAATACTGATCATTATTATTAATAACATAATTAAAATCCTATAGGCAAAACAACCAATATTGGGGTTCACAATTTCTCTTCCCCCACCAGTCCTAGGGTCATGTCACAACCCATTTCTGAGCGTCTTCTGGTGGCAAGCAAAACCTTCATTTAAGCTCTTAGAGACAACCCAGTTAACATTCTGGTATATTTTCTTTCATATATTCTAATTCATTCAACAAAATAGACCGAGTACCTACTCTGTGCCAACTGCTATGCTGCCCACAGGGAGTTTTTACCGTATTTGCAGAGACATTAAACAGGGAGTCACAAGACAGAGTGAAGTGTCCTTAACTAGGTGAAGTGTATTAGCCTACCAATATGCCAGCCATATACTCACAGGGCAATGCACAATGATCTGCTTTGGGAAGGTAGAATGGTCAAAACAAGTGGAGATCCTGGTAACCGTGGGCTCTCTGGGAAACAACTGGACTGGAGAGTGGTCGTCCTGACTCTGCTGCTGACTGAGAGGTTGCTTCAGTTTAAAACTTTACTTACGTCATCTCAGATTATGATGTTGCACCTACTTTGGGGACCGTTATGAAGATGTAGTGACACACTGTACAGATAGGTACTGAATAAGTGGGAAACAGACCTACCAATTTAAAGGGTTAAAAAAGGGTTATTCAATAGCAACATTATTAACATTTTAGACCAGATAATTCTTTGTGGTGATGGAATGCCCATTTCATTGCCTTAACATTGCCAAATGTCACCTGAAGGGCAATATTGCCCCCAGTTGAGAATCACTGGGTTAGAAGAACACAGGATAGCTTCAAAAGCTAGGGGTTAAATTGTGGTCCCTATACTCATGTCTACTTTCAGTTTCTCTATTCCTCAGAAGCTACTCTCTAAAAGTGTAAATGCAGGGTCCTGGAGGTATTGATGTTCTCGGAAATTAACCCAGTAATAGAATAGAAATATTCCCCCTCTATAGAAAATCCAAGAGTGAGAATGTAAATTAGCAACTACTTTGAGATGAATGAAAATGAAAACACAACATATAAAAACTCATGGGGTGCAGTTAAGCAGTGCTTATAGAAAACTATATATTTATAAATGCCTATTTTAAAAAAGAAAAAAGACTTTCATTTTCCAGTCTGACACATAAAGAGCTTAGAAGTCATTACTCCATCCTAACAGGAAGTAAATAGCTAAACAAACTGAAGTAGGCCATTGTTTTCTCTTAAATCTGTCAGAAAAGTGAGGTAACAGGGAAAACTCCTACTCCAATAATTGGAGAAACAGGCAGATAAAGAGAATCACAAAGAGAAGTCTCCACAGGAACCAGCACCAGGGTAGAAAAACTACAATGTAATTGACAAACTTCTGGGGGCTCCCTATGGACAAGTCTGAGAGTTAGGAATTCCAAGGGGCCATTATTAGGACAGCACACCCACACTGTTGTGAGTTTAAGCTCCAGGTTCTCTCAGTGAAGTTTAGAGGAAAATACCCTCATGCTTCAGGCAGAGGGAGGGAAAAAGTCACCTTTTTGAATATGCCAGAGCACTCTATTCTTCTTAACAAGGTCTGCCCTCAGAAGAAACGATTTCACCAGAGCAAAATCTATTTTCTGTCCACTCGTTTCGTTTTGAGACAAAGTTTCACTTTTGTTGCCCAGGCTGGAGTGCAATGGTGCCATCTCGGCTCACTGTAACCTCCGGCTTCCAGGTTCAAGCAATTCTCCTGCCTCAGCCTTCCCTAGTAGCTGCAATTACAGGCATGTGCCACCACACCCGGCTAATTTTGTATTTTGAGTAGAGACAAGGTTTCTCCATGTTGGTCAGGCTGGTTTCGAACTCCTGACCTCAGGTGATCCACCCACCTCAGTCTTCCAAAGTGCTGGGATTACAGGCGTGAGCATAACCTATTGAAGTTTTATCAGATACTAACTGATATGGGGGAAGGTCAATAAGCAACTCCAGCCAGCTCTAGCCTTCCAAATGGGGGAAGGAAGATAACCCAACTGCAGCCCTTTCTAGCCATCCCGTCCCACCTAACGTAGAGAACTAGGAAGCACTGGTGAAGTTCACAGTCCAGGGACACAAGCTCACTAAAAACTGAGACCTAATCATGGAACTATAGAATGCTTCCCCTCCTTCTACACCCTACCACCACATTACTAAAGGATTATTTACCACAGCTCCTTTACCCAGTACATCATGTCAGGCTTCCAACGAAAACTTATAAGGCATATTAAAAGGCAAAAAATACAGTATGAAGAGACAAGGCAAGCATCAGAACTCAAGTCAGGTAACACAGGAATGTTAGAATTAACAGACCAGTGTTTTTAAGTAACTGTATTATACTAAGGGCTGTAACAGAAAAAGTAGACAATATGCAGGAATAGATGGATATTGTAAGCGGAGAGACAGACATTCTAAGAAAGACTCAAAAAGAAATGCTAGAGATGAAGAACACTGTAACAGAAATGAAGAATGCCTGCCCATGATGAGCTCAATAGTGGCCTGTGCATGGCTGAGGAAAGAATCTTTGAGCTTGAGAATATGTCAGTAGAGACTTCTACAACCAAAAAGCAAAGAGAAAAAAGATTGAGGGAAAAAGAACAGAATATCAAAGAACTGTGGGACAACTACAAAAGGTGCAACATTCATGTAATGTGGAAATATAAGGAAAGACAAAATAGTAGCAGAAATACGGGAAACAATAATGGTTGAGAATTTACTCAAAATTAAAGCCAGACACCAAATCGCAGATCCAGGAAACGCAGACAGCAAGTAGGATAAATGCAAAAGAAAATTTTAAGCATATGATATTAAAACTCCAGAAAATCAAAAATAAACAAAAAATTCTTGAAAGAAGCACAGGAAACAAAGCGCTTCTCTATACAGGAGTTCACATAAAAGTTACATCTGACTTCTGCTCGGAAACAATGCAAGCAAGAGGAGAGTGGAGTGAAATAGTTAAAGCGTTGAGAGAAAAACCCACTAACTTTGAGTTCTGTAACTTGTAAAATTATCCTTCAAAAGTGAGGAACAAATCAAGACTTTCTCAGACGAAAAACTGAGGGAAATTGTCACCATTAGACCTGCCTTGCAAGAAAGGTTAAAAGAAGTTCTTCAGAGAAGAAAAACAATATAGGTCAGAAATTTGAATCTACATAAAGAAGGAAAGAATATTAGAGGATGGATAAGCAAAGATAAAATAAAAACTTTTTCTTTTTTTTAATTGACCTAACAGATAACAGTTTATTCAAAATAATAATAGCAGAAATGTATTTGATTATGTGACTATATATACTAATGTGTATTTATATGTAACTAAAATGAACAACAACAATCATACGAGGGGTGGGAGGTAATAATTAGGAATACTATGTTATTATAAGGTACTTGCACTACCTGTGAATATAGTGTATATCTTTGTATAGTATTATATGAAAGTGAGCTGGGACTAGCTATAGAGGCATAGAGCAACCACTAAAATACGGCATAGTGGTTGCATAGAGGAATTATGTATAGAGCAACATGCTCAACTAAAACAAAAAGGAGAAAAATATGGTAGACAAAAAGCTAACAACAAAAAAAAGGCAACAAAGAGAAAACTGTAACAACCATGGTAGGCATTAATCCACCTATATCAATAATCCCTTTAAATGTCAGTGATCTAAATATACCAATGAAAAGACACACATTTTCAGAGTGAATCAAAAAATAAGACCCAACCAAATGCTGTTAATAAGAAATTCAAGTTAAATATAAAGACACATGAATTAAAAGTAAAGGCATGAAAAAGGAGATATCATGTTCATACTAATCAAAAGAAAGCTGGAGTGGGTATGTTAATTTTAGACAGGGCAAACATTAGAGCACGAAAAATTATCAGGAATAAAAAGAGGTATTACATAATAATAAAGAGGTCAGTTCTCCAAGACATAACAGTCCTTAATATGTTTGTGCCTAACAACATAATCAAAATACATGAGGCACAACTTTTATAATCGAATGAAAACTCTCCACCAAAGTTGTGGTGGAAGCGTTCTCTCTTTCAATTAATAATAAAAAAAATTAACACTCTAGTTCTTTGTCAGTGCCAATGACAATAAATTTGTTTGCTTATCCCGCTCTCATTCAAAGAACAGGTAAAAGAAAGTATATTAATAAACCTGAAAGTATATTGATAGATCTAAGTTCCCAAAGATGACAATAACAATTATGGAAAACTATTAAATAATT